CCTACACATATCAGAAAAACTAACTTACATCAAGGGCGTACAACATCGTTTTGTAGATGTTAAACATGGCTTGATGCATTCCAAACCAATTTCGTCGAAACACAAACGCTAACATATGCAGATACATATATGTTTACCGTAATGACTTCCTGTATCTTAATGGTAAGGGTTTTAGCTTAATGGACCGAAAGGATTTTCTCAGATTAAACAGGAAATAAAGCTTCGATTCCTGTCGGGAGCAACATTTTCTTTGAAATGAAATATGGACGAGAACAGAAAATTCTGGTATTTGTATATTTGTGTGGCTTGTTTTTCATTTGTTAAGTAAACCTCATGTGTTTTTCTTGATGCGTAGCGTTTGTTTGTATAATTCATGTGTGTATATGTATTTGTATAATTCATGTGTGTATTTTTTTTTAAGCGTTTCACCCCAAACAAGGCGGGAAGCCACTAGGGCGCAAGGGGTTACAGAAAATTTGGAGCAAGATCAGATAGGAGTGATAGAAGAAAGGATGAGGAGAAGGGTAGTGGATAGATCAAGGCAACTGGAGATGTCGATTGACATTACATTTGAATAGCTGGAGATTATAGCTCTCAGGGAAACTGGAATAGGGAAGGGAGTTCCACAGGCGAGAGGTGTGAGACATGAAGCTATTGGAGTAGAAGAGACGGCTACATTTAGGAGTTTCGACATGTGTGTATATGTGTTTTAATTCTAGTTGTCTGTGTGGGAAATGGTTGACAATATGTGGATCTACATATTCATTAGATCAGGTTGATTTTTTATTTTCTTTAGAAAACCAACTTTGCACTCCCTGTGAAAGCTGCTGATCGATGTGATAAGCACTGACAGAAAAAAAATATAGATTCGTTGCTTTGACTAATTTTTGAACATTTAGTCTTAAAGAGCATCGGAAGAAAATGTCCAGAAATATCTTCCCTCCGCAGATTTTTGCGATAAACCGACTTCAAACGCGGATGTAGTTTATCCCTATACCCAGGACGATTGGAAAAGGGTTTGTCGAGATGACAATTATAATTTTGAACGACTATGTAATATCAATCCAATTTCCCATATAGCAGTGAATTCTGGACATTTTCCTCACAGATGAAGAAAACATTCGATGCAACATAGATATTGGTCAACATATCTGCTAATAGGACGCGTTGATTTTTCACGTTTTTTAGAATATGTTTAGATACGTTATGAACGCTGAGGTCTGATATGATGAGTAATAACACCGAGAATTTCATTTATAGCTTTTAGAAACTTTTGAGTATTTAGTTTTAAAACTTTCAGCAGTTACACGTGTTTTATTAGCGTATGCTTCAATCACATACAGACATATTGGCGTACCAAAAACACCTGATTTTCTTACTTGTAACAAAAACACTTTGCAGACTCACTTGCGACAAATAACTTAAAACAATCAAACTGATGGTCTTTTCATGGCCACAATAAAGAACATAGATTGTTAATATATAAATACATGTATTTGACTGTATGAATGTTACTGCCATATTTATTTTCATCGTCTTCTTCCTCTCCAAAGATAATTTCTTCGCGTTGTATAAAAAATTGTGTTGTATTTGTAGAGACAACACTAGGATTTTATTTTTCCTCCTAAAATTCGGGTAGACAAACCCCACAATGTACTTTTCGTACACTGGACAAATGTCTTCGATCAGCTTTGGAATCATTATGATCTTGATTGAAAACAAAGAGATATCGAACATGCCTATTCTTGTCTACATGACATTTCATCTGAAATGGGTGTCTAATCTGAAATGAAATTTCAATAACATTATACAAAAGTTTCATAGAATGACCAGCTTTACTAAGAAGCAAACGAAAGATTATTCTTTGAGATCATTTGCAGAACAGCAGAATTAACGAACATATATTTGCAACGACCTGATATTATGACAAGTTGTGTTATTTAATAACAAAAGAAAACCTAAAATATAAAAGAAAAGAAAAGAAAGTTCGATTCTGTCATATCTCATTCTGTCAGTAATGTTGTCATTTCATCTGTGTCCAAAGCAAAAATGAGCAGCTTTATGACCTTATCTGAAATCAAAGTGATGTCGAACATGTTCATTAAAATAAGTTGATTTTTTTCACTTATTTTTAGAAAATCGACATTGCACTCAATGCAACAGCCGGGGTTTGATATGTTAAGTATTGACACAAAAAATAGGTGTATAAATAACCAATTATTAAGTAATTAGCTCCAAAGATTGTCGGAAAAAAGTACAGAGATACATAATTTCTTCAGGTTTTTGCTTACAAAGTGACTTAAATATTTTACTATATCAAGGATAAATCCAAATAAAGTTGATATTTTTCTATACCGGAACATACCTATTCTATTGTTAATAGACTCTCCCACAGATAATAAGTAGTAGTAGTAGCAGTCGCCAGGGCTCAGAGTGGAGTTGGTGAGTCAGTCGATGTCGGACCTTAAAGTATCAATCACCACAACTAGATTGCTGCGTCATTAACTATTATTTCAAGTTCCTAACGTTTTGTACATCGGACCCTTTTAAGACCGACTTAGTGAAATACAAGCCTCCACTGTAAAAAATGTTCTAAAACAATTAGATACATTAAATGGAAAATATATTCAAACCAGAATTCGAATTATGAATCACCTCAAGCAAAATATGCAATCTATTTTTACTGAATTTGATAAGTTTTGTGGATTCCGGGGATGGAATCCTGGACAAATAAATAAATACGCCAGTAATTGAAATAGAAAAATATGTGTATTAAAGGTAAGAATACAAATTTGAAATGAAGATTAGTCATCCAGGAATGCGGGTCTCTGTAAGTTATCTCCCTTTCTGGACTCTCATATAACTCTGAGTGAACACCCTGTCTTGACCTTCTTTGTCACGCTATCTCTCAGTCGTATAAGTATACTTTGAACGAGTCCATCTTGTTTACAAGGGGCGAGCCCCACAATAATAAGTAAAAACTGTGTAAGAAAACTCTAAAAGATTACAAAAAGGCTACTCAATGAATAAGAATTGTTATATCACTTTTTTGATCATAATTAATACAAACAAAAATTAAAAAAAAGGAAAAACAGATAAATGTGTATATGACACAATAATACTGCTGGGTACAAATTATAAGACAAAATGTTTTAAATTTAAATTGTTTATTGAAAATTGCACTAAAACTTTTGCATAGTATAATATAACATAATATAGTATTTACATTAGTCGGACTATTGTCCTCATCTTTGTCGCCATATTTGTCACAAGGTTTCGGCGGTTGTACGCTCCGGCCTTCTTCAGGTAGTTGGAATTTTGAACTGAACCCTTTATTTAGCTCACTGGGGTAGACTGTTCTAGTTCCACGTGCCATGTTTAATGGATGTCAGTTGTCAGTTATCTCCTGTTAATTTCCCTCTGAAGGTTCTCCACTGCCTTAACCGGGTATTGAAGTCACAATCTTTGGGTCTGTCACTGGATCTAACCAACGCCTTTATCCACTGAGCCATGTGTCCTTGAGGACTTTTATATATATATATAGTTGCGTCCAAAATGTTCAGAACGGCATTGTTTTCGTCAGAAAAGTAGGTATAAGTTTTTATCAAAGTTGTTTTATATTCTATAATTTTCACCGACAATAAATACTATATTAATTGTTATTGTCTGAGATTTGGGTGTAATTTGAGATGATAATACAAAAGTTATAGATGATTTAGTGCCGTTCTGAACATTTTTCTGTATAATATTTATATATATATATATATATATATATATATATATATATATATATATATATATATATAAACATAAAACATTAAGCAGCATATGATTTATATACAAAGAATAATCACACATAGAATTAATCAGAAGTATTAATGCGATTATTGGCGACATCCATCGCTAGAAAACATAATATATGCATTAAAATCCTGTTCATCCATAGTGCGAGTTTTGATCCTTGACGAAAAACTTGTTGTCTGTAGTTTTCAGTTTATTTGATGTTAAAATGCTAGTACTTACGGATAGTCTTCTATCCATCATCAGGCATGTGTTTTTTTCCTTATAAAATCAAAAACTTGAGACGATATACCTGTATGTCGACCGAAAGATGTTTTTGAATATATGCTATTATTGACGGTTGTGTAAGATCTCGGAACGTGCCAAAGACGCAACGCTAAGTTTTTCAAATTTTTTAAGTGAGAATTTTTATTTAAATATTTCTTGTGATGTTTTAAATCCACGTATTCTATTTTTACAAGTGTATTCAGTTTTTATGTCATAAAAACTGAATACCATAATATCAAAAAATAATTATATATATATATATTTATATATATCTAATATTAGTGGTCAATATATATATATATATATATATATATATATAGATAGATAGATAGATAGATGATAGATAGATGATATATATATATATATATATATACATATATATATATGTATATATAAAATCATATTTTATTTAAAAAAATGATTCTATTATTATTCTAAATATCCCTTGAGAATGAAACTGTGCTTTAGAACTGTGGATTAATTTTGAAGTTAAACTTTAGGATTTGAGTTTCAGTTTGAAAAAAATAGTAATTTCTGTGTCGCTATGGAAACATATTTTTAAAAAAATAATTATAATTTTAAGCTCTACTTATGTATCGAGCACTGTTTTTTAAAAATAAAATAACAAATCCTAAGTGACTTCGGATCAGTAATCTAACTTTTTTTCTTATTACATTAACGTACACATACACACACACACACACACATATATATATATATATATATATATATATATATATATATATATGTGTGTGTGTGTGTGTGTGTGTGTGTGTGTCTATGTGTGTGTCTGTGTGTGTGTGAGAGAGAGAAAGAGAGAGAAAAAGATAGTGATAGAAAGAGAGCGTGTTTGTCTTCAATAGACTTTCACCACTTATATTTTAATGTTCTGTATCACGGAGCATCATCTCCCACACACTTGGTCAAACGACTCATTTATTCCGATAACAGAGAGAGAGAGAGAGAGAGAGAGAGAGAGAGAGAGAGAGAGAGAGAGAAGAGAGAGAGAAAGATAGGAGAGCGAAGGAGAAACTGAAATATATTTTGAACGGTGTGTGGAATTATGAGAATTCTTGTATCTGCTGTCAGCTGGTTGTGATATATTGACAAAAGTGGCACACAGGCAGTTAGAAATTGTCGTGTTGGGACGTGTTTCACTGAAAAGGTACCCAGAAGGTGCGTGTGATCAGTAGCAGTAAAGGGTCAAGGAAGATAATAAAAACAAACTGCAAGGAAAAGTGTTATTACAATCATAAATTATCGCTTGTGGTACCTTCAAATTGCCGCGATGTCGTGTATATAATAAAAGATCACAGAGATAAGTGTAGATATAGCTCCTTACATTTGAATTTTTCCTGGCTCGAGTTGATGTCATGAGGATTATCTTTCTTAACAATGGTTTGATTATGAGTCACATTAATGGATATACTTATATAGATTTATCAGTACGTTAATGCTAATTTTGTTTTAATCATTTCAACCCAAGTAAAGCAATAATGCCATTACGATGCATGGGGACAGTTACAGAGAGTGGACGAAAATGAGAAGACTTTAGTCAGGAGAAGTGAGGAGTAAGAAAATAAACGAACAGGTTTCAGGGAAACAGAAGACGGTAATTTACGTTGCATTTAAAATTTTGAAGATTGTAGTTATTAGGGAAGCAAGGAATCTGAAGGGAGTTCCACAGGTGAGATGTGCGAGAAAAAGAAAACAGATGCATCTAGTTAGATAGATCGAAACTGAAACCAACTACACTCTTCCGTTCCTGTTACATAGAAATAATAAGAAACTCAATTTTGACATTTACAGAAAGGCTACAAACAAAAAATGATCTGATCAATTTCTACTCAAACCACTCTTCTAAAATTAAATCTGGAATTATTATAGCTTTCTATCTAAGAGAATTAGGAATAGGTAGTCCCCAAAATTTACTTAAAAAAGAAACATACATAGAAAACCCATTCCAAAACCTACAATACCCAAATCATTTCATCCACGATGCAAGAAAAAGGCATACAAAATATACAACCGAAACAAAAACTAATAACATAGTCCGCAATAATAAATTACATGAAAATAGATGCATAATACTACCGACCAACTTTGTCAAGTCTACTATCCAGAATAACCTATTCCATCTAAATAATCTCAAACACTAGTCACAAACACTTCCAAAACCGTTATGGATATACTATAAATATTTTCTTTTCTACAGGTTAACTCTGAAAAAATATATATATATATATATATATATATATATATATATATATATATATATGCATTTCAACCTCAAGCAAGGCGGGAGTGCCACTAGTACGTAAGGAGTTACAGAGAATGAAATTAAAGAAAAAACTGGGTATTGGGGGGGGCGTTGAGGAAACGAAAAAAGAAGAACGGGGATCAACGCATCCGAAGATGTCGATTGATTTTAAATTTAAACTTTTGAAGTTTATAGTTATCAGGAAAGTAAGTAAGAGGAAGGGAGTTCCACTGTCGGGAAGCGCGAGAGAAGAAATGCTGTTTCATTTAACAGTTTCGACAGTAAAAGGTTGGGGATCGAGATGCCAACTTGGTAGCTCGTTTAAATTCATACACTCGGGACATCAGTGAAAATAGCTCGTTAGAATAGATTCCATGAATATATTTATAGAAAAGACAAAGGGAAACCACATTCCATAGGTGAGAAAAGTGACGGCTTTAGTCCCTACCCACCGCCGTAATGTAGCTTTCTTGTGCCTTTTCTATGAATACTTTCCTGATAATTGTTTTGATATGCTTTCCTTTATAGTATGTAGATATATTGAATTTAAACGCAATACTAGATTAGCGGCAAAGTCTCCTTATTTTACAAATGAAATGGCTAGAAGAGACTGTAAGTTCTATGCTAATAGTGTCTTCTGTCGAAACTTTTCGCTTGTGGAACTGTCTTTCTGTTGCTTGCTTCAGAGTAAACTTTGATTTTAAAAAAAATATAAATGCAATTGTCATATTCTTTCTCTTTGAATCTTGTTCTTTTATTGCCCTCTCCCCATAATGACTTTTTCTTAAGATATTTTACATTCAGTAACCCCTTGCGTCCTAGTGGCTTTATTGCTTTGCTTGGGGTGAAATGATGGATTAAAGTATGTTTTATATAGGCGACTAATGCTAGTACCTCCATGTGTTGGTGTTCACTGAGGACCGTCTCTGAAAAACACACTGTTACTTCCCCAGAACCGCCTTACAAGAATAGCGAAACATTTTAAGAACCTGGACACGGATTTACTGTAGATGCTCTCGTGATTAAATCACTTTTCGTCTTAGTAAATTGTTCATCTTTTAATTAGAGAAGCAGCACGATTTCAGTTGGAAAGAATTTATCTAAATTCAACATAATTTTATTGAAAAAAAAAAGAGAATTAATTAATGGAGGAATAATACTAATAATTGTCATAAAGAATTCTTAGATTAAACATCGAGTTATTTAAATAAAAGATTATATGAACATAAAACACGGAAATGCTTTTGTTTTTACTTTCCAAACAGGGTTAGCACTGTAGATAGACAGATATAGAAATCCACATATTCAGTTTAAAATTAAAAAAAAAAAAAAAAAAAAAAAAAATTTACAATGGCTAACAGAATGTCCGAAAGTGGACGGATATATAGAATACTTGGACAGGTTTTAGACAGTTTATGTCCAAATAAGGAAACACTTATACGAACATCAGAAAAAATTAAAAAAACTTAATCACAGTACCTTGTTAGTCGCATTTCATGAAGCTTATACATACATACATACATACATACATACATACATACATACATACATATATATATACAGAGTGTCCATAAATTTAGGGGGTTAATAGAAAAAGGCATCACGTATCATGTTTGTACGAATATTTCTTCTCGCAGAAGGATCAAACTTCAAGATTACCTCAGGGATGAGGTAGCTTTATTCCAAAAGAAACCATGATTGCCAATATTTGTGTACAGTAATAAAAAGCCGATAGAAGAACAGTTTGAACTAACCACAAGCTCCACCAGTGCATCTGTTTCTTTTGCAATCATAAGAAGCAAACTCCAAGATTGAGTTGGGTGCAGGCTTCTTCAAGCAACATTCAATCTATAGGTTACCGCCGCTAGATACTATCCATTTGGCAATGGATGAAGTGTATCTTCGACCGCTGGTTCGAATGGAGAGTATCTGAATGGAGGGTATTTTCGTCTGCTTGTATGAAGTGCCCAGAGCTTGTTTCCATTTCATTTGGTAATTTGCTCGTTTGATGTGTGTTGATATAAGGGATCCTTTGTCGGAGGTAGTTTATCAGGATCTGGAAACTTCCTTTCTGTTGATGAACAGATTGTAACGTGAGACATCAACACTTGTCTTATTTGTTATTCCATATAAAAAGACATACATATGTTTTATGACTTCCCGCACAACATATGGAATGGCTGTACTCTCTCCAAGTAAGCATACTACCTCAATAAAGCATATTGGTCGGACTTTAGTACTTGAAAGCATTTCTTCTCCCCTATTCCACTGAATCTACTCGTAGAATCACAACTCGACAGTGCGTGAAGGGCTGGTAGAGCTTTAGATAATTCAGCTGATACATCAGCATCGTCAAATTCGTAGATGAATATTTTGGATCCTGAACCGGCGTACTGTCGTTGGATCAATACTTTGTAGTACAATGATTTGTGACAGCTTCTTCTGAAAGGTCAGGAATTTCTGAAATCGATGATTTTTCTCCATTGGATGATAAAACACTTGAGAATACCCCAGAAGTGTTGAAGAAAATGGCTATTTTTTAGTGATTTTATAACATTTTTTATGTTATAATTTTCGAATAAATGATTATGCATATATATATATATATATATATATATATATATATATATATATATATGCAATTTATATATATAATTTTATATATTTAGTTGGATTGATGTGAGTTTGTGACCCTGGGTTTCACGCTGCGATCATCAAACTCAAGTTTGTCTGACGATCGCAAATAGCGTGAAACCCAGGGTCACAAACTGAAATCACTTCAACTAAATATATATATATATATATATATATATATATATATATATATATATATATATATATATATATATGATAAAAAACATAGTTATAAGTTATGCTATATTTATGGGTTAAAGTTATCATTATCAGGGATAGAGCGTATTTAAATATAAACGTGGACATTGAAGTCAACACCCAATGACGGCAGTCTTTTCCATGCTTAAAAGCACTCGTCAGGCCAAATATATCTGGCCTTTTTTAATAAAGGCTCGTTTTGGCTATAGAAACAGTTTCCTTGGTGGAAAAATGGGATACAGGTTCGATTCCTGTCAGCAGTATAATCATTCTTTGTTAGGCCGGTTGCTAAAATTCACTGTTTAATAAAATAAAAAAAAAAAAACTGGGATAACGACTCAAATATATTTACCCCCTAAAATTAAAGTTTTATATATATATATATATATATATATATATATATATATATATATATGAATACATCATCTCTCTCTCTATATATATATATATATATATATATATATATATAATAATCTTTCCCCGTCAGTTTCGACGTATGAGGATCTGACAGCTTATTGATTCAGTTATGAAATTTTGTGCGATAATCTTTAGTGATTTACAAAGGAGGCCACATATGGAACGAGTGTGAGGATCGTGAAATGAGATCACTGTTAGATTGGCTGACCTTTTAGATCTTGCTCTCGCTTCTTGAAGATGATTCAGACAATTGAAAATTGCTGAGTCCACTAAAACACGTTGATCTCCATTCTACCCTCTTCAAAGCTAAGCGCTCAAGGGTGTTATGTGGTATATTGACAGCTGACAATATATATACACCGTGTGATGTGTAATTAGTCGACATTTTATAAATTTTATATGTGAATGAATTAGATATTACCAATTTAATGTCTATATTTTCTCGTTATTTTCCTTTTCTGCACAATTAACACTAGTGTAAGTCTTCTTCTATTCTCTCTGTGTACGTGTTTACGCTTTTCCACGTCCAATCATACGTTGTAAAGAGATAATGATTTTTATTTTTTAGCCGACATATTTGTATTACTTGAAAAGTTCTTTTAAGTGAATACCTGTATTTTAATAAAACTTCGCGTTTTTTTTAAACAGTGTTTATTTTGTCTTGCAACTCACAACTCAATTTGTTTTCACTGAATAGGATTACGAAAATAGATCCATTTTTCATCCTCAGTCAAAATTCGTCGCCCAAAATGGGTATCTTGAGGATTTGCCAGCAGATGTTTGCTAATATTCACACGTCATCTATCCTAGTTATTAGTTAGTTCATGAGTAACCTCTTGACAGTGTCTTTTCACAAAAGCCGAGCGTATGGAAGTATCGATTGATGATGCTTTGTGAAGGACCAAGTTCTGCCGACAATAGACGGTGTGCCATGGATAAATTGTCGTCTAAATTACGCAAAAAATGAAAATAACACTGACATCTCATTTTAACGGATATATTTACTAAAATTGCACAAAAATATCTTGAAATACTAAAGAGTCAATTTATTCAATAAAATGCTCTGTTTATAATAAACATTATTAACAACATTTACCGTCCTGAATATCCAAGAAATTTTTATAGAAAATATGCGTCTTCCGACAGGAATCGAACCTGTATCTTATACGGTACCGTCACATAGCCTGACGTTCTTTTACCGATTGAGCCACAGAGGAGCATTTCGGTTAGCAAGGTCGATTTTACTGTTTTTAAACTACAATTCCCCATGATTTTCTTAAATATTTGTATCTATAAAAAGAACGTATAAATATAAAAAATGTCTCAAAATAATTGTCGGACTTTGTCCATTTCATAATATATATATATATATATATATATATATATATATATATATATATATATATATAATGATGAGTAGAACTGAGCTTCACATGCGAGAAAGAATATACGGCTAGCCAACTCAACCGTAAATTGACGAGATCTCGACGCCAGTCTAGTACAGAGCTTAAATTAAAAATCTCTAGTTGATTCTTCTTTATATTTTATTAAGTATCTCTAGATATATGGCAGGAACACCAGACCATATCTGACGGTAATATTCTAAGCATGGACGAATGGTCGACATATAGATATGTAAGATAGCTTCTGGAAAGAAGAATTGTCTCGCCCGACACAGTGAATCGATTTTTCTTTGCAGCTGACCTAACAATGGATTCAATATATTCTTTTAACTTCTTGTCAGCTGAGAATGTGAGCATGAGAAAGTGAAGCGAGTCACTTTCCTGGAGGTTAGCATCAGCCATGCTCAAAGAAGCCAGTGTGGGGTGTATCAGGTGATCAATGGAGAGAAGTTTATTTTTGGAGACGTTAACATACCCAAGGCATTAACGACGTACTTGAGGTTGTTATGGACATCGGCTGCAATTTTGACTTACTCCGACTGATAAGTATTAGTATTGAGGTAATAGTAAATGGTTGTTTCATCAGCGTAGATACCAAGTTGAGAGCTGATGTCATCGAGAAAGTCATTAAGGAAAATTAAAAAACAGTGTAGGACCAAGGATGCAGTCCTCGGAGACACCCGCGTTAGTATAAAGGATCTAGAGGAGTGGCCGTTCAGGGTGACTTTCATATCGACGAAAGGAAAGATTGAATCAGTTTAAATAAGTGTCCGGAGACTCCGTAATTTTTCAGCTTGTCGAGAAGACCTGAGTACTAAAGGCTTTCGAGATGTTTACTGATACACCTCAGGGTTTCACCGTTTTTATTTAGAGCAATTACTGATAGTACATCGGCAGTTGACATGGAGTAACAAAAGTCATATTGCTTGTCTGGACAAAAGGCCCTATAATGAGAAACGGTGAATCAATTCAGCATTGATTAAAACCTCTAAGAGTCCCCGTAAAAGTTGTAGAAGGTCATAGTTTAAAGGGTTTGACGGCTCACCAGAATTCTTAAAAATTGGAACAACAGATAATGACTTTCCAGCAAGCAGAAAAGCGAGAGTCAGCGAGACATTTATTATAGAGTTTATAGAGAAAAGAAGCTAGTTGAGTAGAAAATTTTTAATGACTATTACAGGAATGCCATCAGTTCGTCATGCATTGTGGGAATCTAGGTTAGAGATGTTAGCAGAAACATGGAAGGAACTTATATACATAAAATTCAAAAGTTTCAGTTCTAGGTGAGATGCTAGATACGGATAATCCAGATGAGTCAAGAGTAGGGTTTAAGGAGGATTTACTGGCAAGGAATGAAGCTATATCAGGAAAGGATGATAACACCTAGAACTGATTGAAGAAGGGGGGGAATAGAGACTTATACATATTTAACCCTCTATTACACAGCCGCTAATAATCACGAGAGCCAAAGTTTTAAGAGGCTATGCAGTGCGTCATTCTCTTGGCAAAAAGGGACTTTG